GCCTGGGCGCAGGGATCGATTATATGTACTGCAGGGCGCCTCCGACCACTGCGCCACTGCGGCACATGCTCCCTGCTCCAGATATCGGTAGCAATATTTGTAATACATAACACTGCTAGTACTTCTATAATGCTGAGATGGTTGAAAAACTCCGGACCGCAGGTGTCTGCGGCAGGGAACGAACGCGTTATTATCCTTTTCGGGGAGTAACGCGTTCACCACCACACCATGCGGGTCCTCCGTTTCGCCTGTCTCTGAGCTAGTTCTATGGATCACTGCCATCAGCAATCACCCGTCAACTAGCTGAGGGACGTGCGAAACGAAGGACCCGCATGGTGTGGTGGTGAACGCGTTAGTCCTCGGAAAGGTTAACAGCGCGTTCGTTCCCCGGCGTAGACACCTGCGGTCCGGAGTTTTGTAAATATCTCAGAATTATAGAAGTCATATTTCGCAGCGTACCCTGCCATTAAAAAGAATAGGCAGCAAAGAAAAAGGTTAAGAGTACTAATACTATTCACAGATAAGTATAGGAAACATGGTTTAAAACTTAAGTGATTTACGGGAACGACTTCCAAACTCACTTCACAAACACCTGGATCACAAGTTTCGTTATAGGAAGCGTAATCAATTTGAGCCGTTGCACCCTACTTTCAAGGAGTTCGTTTAAAACTGTTCGTTGTTGGAGACTTCAGCGCTAGAATAGGAAAGACCAACGAGAGCGAATACAGGATCGGAAATTTTGGATTAGGGAAAAGAAATGAGAATGGGAACCGTCTCGCAGGACTCCTGTCAGCAGCACGTCTCTTTCATGGGAACTCGTTCTTCCAGAAGAAGGAAAGCCGCCGCTGGGCATGGGAGTCTCTCAACGGCATGACTCATGCGGAAATCGACCATATTTTGACAAACAGAAGATGGTGCCTACTTGAGCCCGTAGTCCCGTCATTCTGTACTGGTTCCGATCACCGCCTTCTTCGCGCGAAGAATCGATTCAGCCGCAAGCTGGAAAAGAACTCTCTTCATCGACCAAGAGGTAAAAGTCTAGCTGTATACAACGAGAACATTCTGAAAGAAGTCCTATCCAAACGTGACTGGCAGATTAAAGAAGACGCCACCGAGGACTACGAACTGCTTGTCGAAGAACTGAAAAGCTGTGCCGAATTCGCCTCAGTTCCTCAAGCAAGAAGATTGGATCGCGTCTCCATCACTACTAAGGAGTTGCTCGGAAAGAGAACGAAACTGAAGCTTGATCCTACTGCAAAACGTTTAACATGGCTAGTAATAAATGCCAGCTGCGGAAGAGCTTTGCAGGAAGACCTATAACGGTACAAGCAGAAGAAAATACTGGAAGCAGCAGAGAAAAGAAGCAGTTTGAAAAAATGTCGTCGGGATCTGTGTGATTATAATGTCGCTGTCGGCCCTGATGAACGGAGATGGGATCGTCAAAACTTCCCGCCATGGTATGGAACCTTTTCCATTCCACAATCCCCGTCCCAGGTCCTAATACCCTCTATGGAGAAAAACTTCGTGGCCTTTTACCGTTGGAGGTTCTAGTTGCGATAGAAAGCATGAAAAGAGGCGCAGCTGCAGGACCCGATAATATCACTGCCGATTTCCTTAGAGCTGGAGGCCATAATTTACATGTACTTCTTGCAGATCATATGACAGGCTACTTTCAAATGGAAAAAATCCCAGACCAGTGAAGGACGTCGCGCACGGTCATCCTGCCCAAGAAAGGAGACCGAAGGGATCTTCGGAACTATCGTCCCATACGCTTGTTAAGTGTACTCTACAAGCTCTTCACGAAGATTATCCTCTCATGCATATCAAGGACATTGGATAAGGCGCAACTAGTCGAGCAAGCAGGATTTCGAAAAGGGTTTTGCTGCATGGACCACATCCAAACCGTGTCCAGGGTCATCGAAGTTTGTTGGGAATACCACTTGCCTCTAGTCCTAACCTTTGTCGACTATGAGAAAGCGTTTGACAGTGTCGAAACGAATGCAATCCTATCAGCGCTCGTCGACCAAAGAGTGGACCCATCCTACAAAAGGACTCTGTCCGACTGTTATCGGAACTGCACAACGAAAATACAGCTTTTCCATGGACCTCTTACAATACCCATAGGAAAAGCGGTTCGACAGGGCGACACGATATCGCCAAAGCTGTTCGGTGCCGCACTGCAGTGGATAATGAAGTCACTCGATCGGGATGAGAAAGGCATACGTATTGATGGAAAGTTCCTATCAAACCTTCGTTTTGTCGACGACATTGTCATGTTCTCAAGAAGTACTGGCGAAGCAGAGGTGATGATCAACGAGCTCGACGAAGCGGGGAAAAAGATCGGACTTCGTATAAATCGAAAGGAGACCAAGTTCATGAAAAACACATGATGCGAAGGCGAAAAAGTTGAATTAGATGGCTCTCTCATTGCAGAGACCACCTCGTACGCTTACCTTGGGCGATCAATGAACATAGAAAACAACGTGAAAGAGGAACTAGTTAGAAGAAGGAGAGCAGCTTGGGCCGCATTCGGGCCTCTCAAAGAAGCCACCGACCAACTGAAGGATCCGAAAATCCGCGCTCATCTCTTTGATTCTACGGTCCTCCCAGCGCTCTGTTATGCTGTGGAGACGTGGGTTGATACTTCAACTACGTCAAGAATGCTTCGCACTACCCACAGAGCGCTTGAGCGATGTCTTTTGAAATATAACCGGCGCTCTCAATGTGTAGTCAGAATGCAAAGCTGTGACCTTCGAAATCTGTCATTTTCGAGATCCAGGAGAATATACATCGACAGCGAAACATAGATGGGCGGGTCACACAATGAAAAGAACAGAGGACAGATGGACGAAAAGAGCAGCAGAGTGGACTCCAAGAGAGTGCAAACGTCCCCTAGGACGGCCGCCTGCCCGTTGGGCGGACGTGTTCGTAAAGAAAGTTAATCAGCTGTATCCGCAGCTGCAGTTGCTTTACAGATATGAGACTATCAAGCGCTACCATGCTCGAACAAGACCACCACCATGGACTGCGGTTGCGAGAGAACGGAACGAAAGACGCATGTGCTGGGGTTCGCACAGCTCGTGAAGACGGACCGTTCAAGTATCCAAGTAAGTATCGTTTAGAACTGACTTGAGTAGATGGACAAGAGTTCGCTCTATGCTGAAATACATGGTGCCCCTTATGCATTACCTGATTAGTCCTTAAATGATATATGGCGCATTTAGTAACGAAGCTAAGAGGACGCACTATAATTCTTTAGCGAAGTGGAATGCATTATGGAAGTTTATTGAGTGGTGAGAAGTGAAACCTAATGAAGGATTAGCCACACTTTATTTGGTAGAAAGAAACCCAGTCTCGTTACAATTCATTGTCAGCCACAGCTACTCTAAACAACAAATACAGATGATTAAATATTTATGCTAAAACAAAAACGAACTATATGAAAGGGTTATATATTGACAAAGAAAATTGTGAGATCCGCAGTCATCGTGGACGCACTTTTGATGAGAATTAAGCCATTGATGACTTTTCCTTCATGTTTCATAAAACGTAGACGCTGATTACTAAAAAAAATTATTTACATGACATCAAAAAGCTGGTTATCTCTCACTATCAGCACTAGGATACGAAAAACCTAGGAGAAAAAACTGAATGGAGAAGTAGAAATAAACAAAAGGTAGAACAATTAAAGCTCATCATCATCGTCTTCCGCATATGCCACAACCCGTTTTGCACTGCACCGAGCCTAAACAGCCATCCATAAAAAGAAGCACTAAGAACTAAATTAAGGGCTACTTATAAATATCGAAAAGAAAAATATGCTAAAAGGTGGGTTAACTTAAAACGTGTGTTCTAAGTTCAAAACGAATGGCACAGTCTGCACAGAGTGCTACACTGTACTTCACTCCGAACTATTGGTTTTAAGGTCCATAGAGAGAGAAGATGAAGGTCATTTTCTAGTAATGTAACAATGAGTTTCACCAATTCGCTCTTCTTCTTTCCATAGGATAGAGAGATATATGTAGTACAACATGCATTCAAGGTCATTGTCTCGTCTCATCAGAAACTTCTAGATCATCGGTAAGTTGCAAGAAGCAAAATTATGGGATTGGCAGGTTCGTTCTGACGATGAAGACCAAGTAAAGCTTTGAAGTAATGAAATTTGAAAATAAGATCCTTCCAATCTATATCTATGTCTAAAATTACACGCCATTATGATTCATTGTCTTATGAGATCTGTTCCAGCTTTTATGAAGTGTGCAGAAAAAGTTTTAGAACATCTAAGTGCGGTATGGTATTATTTGATCACGAATTGATGTTTGAAAATTCTAATAGAGTGGGATACCAAACATTCGCGCACAACTGAAGAGATTTCTGAAGTTGTCACAAAATTTCTGCACTGAACTGTGCATTAGCGAAAAATGTACCATTGGCAAAACAACATATAGATAGTGCAAGAAAAAAAAAGTGGAAACTGTGGTCATTTTCTAAGTGAACGTAGTTTAGAAAAGAGTAAAAAAGAAGGTCTCACGACTTACTGCACCTATAATAAACACTAAACAACCGGTAAGATAACATTGGCAACTTGAAATTGAGATAAAGCTCTCCACGCCGATCAATCCCTTAAAGATGCGTCGTGCATTGGACTTCATTAAGCATCGTTGGAGGTGATTGAATGCATGTCTGACCCTTACTCGCGGTAGTCTACCAATGTATCCCGTATGTGCTTCTATACTTCCAGACAACTATGGTATCAATTTGCCGACTCCGAAGGGACAAAAAGCTTGCTGAGTCTGGGGAGCGGGGACCGATCGTATGTGTATATCGTAGGGCGCCTTCGATCATTGCGCCACACGCACAGAGTTGAGATATCGATTAAAAACCACTTCGCCTGTAGACCAAACATTTACAACGTTATCGAGACACACTTCCAGTTTTGGTTAAAAGCAGATTCACGTCTACAGTCAAAACCAAAATATTTAGTCAACAGAGATATAGAACTAGTTCGGAATGACAATGCTTTGGAATAGAATGTACAACAAGAAGACGAAATATATACGAACCGATTTCCGTGCTGGCTCAACCCGTGGGGTCTCTACCTTTACTGCTGGAGTTGAAGCAACAGCATTTTGTGGTGTTGTTAACAGCTTCTCAAATCCTAGAAGGTTTCACATTTTAACAAAAGCAAAAACGATAGTGAAGCCAGAATTGATGACTCTCATCTCACTTTGCATATCCTTCTCTGAAACATTGATTGGAGGAGGTGAGGGATCCCGATGAACTGGAAATAAGTGCTCTCCATCCAGAACGCTGCCTAGTGGAAGACGACGCAGTTCTTTTGAAGTGAATCTATAATAAGAAATATAGCTGAGCTACTAGAAGAAACTAATGAATAAACTATGCAAGTACATATCTTAAAAACTAAACATGCAAATATATAATAAGAAGAACGATATCATTACAAGAAGATAAAGAACCTTCTGTAATAATTCTGATACTGTCCATGAATGAGAGCTACAGGATACGGGTCTGGTTTAGTGTATTTTGCAGGAAGCTTACGCCATTTATTCGTGGCAGATTGAATAATCTGAATATGAATATTAGCACTCATCGTGGTTAACTAATGGTGAAAAGTGTTCACTCACCGAAGTTTGAATGTCCCAATAATGCTGGCGTTCCAGTTTCTTTGTCATTTGAAGATCCTTATTGAAGTTAGCAGCACTCCTCATAGCCTTTTCACGTAGGTCGGCCAATTTTTTAGAATCGTTTTTTATCTTTAATCAAATAAAATCGAGCAAAACTAACAAAAACGTATACACTCTACAGAACTGAAAATTAATCTAAGAGCTTTTTTATTCCAGTACGACTCATTTTTAATTAAGCTAGAAATCGAAGCAATAAATTCCACTCTTCCTATTCAAAGTAAGTATAGTTGAGAATTTTTAATAAAACGTTACCGCTTCCATCTCTTTTGCTTGTTCAGCCATCAAAGCTTTGTGACGTTCAGCTGTGACCTTTTGAAATTCCTAACAAAACGTTCGAGAAATATGAAGTTATTGCAATGAAACGCACTTGAAAAAGCAGTAAATAACTAAGAACAACAAAAACAAACAAATAACGCACTTACTTGATATATTGATGGATATTCGCTGGCCATCAACTCATGGATTTCGACTGAACGCATCGCACACAAATCACGCAATTCTAGAAAATGTATGTTCGAACGGAGTATATTCCACAGCTTCAAAATATTTCCGCTACAACATAACCAACGCGTCTCGTTCATTGTTTGATGAATATTATATGTGGAGCAGAGCCAATCTCTCTCGACTTTTTCGACTTTACGACGACTCATCTCAGGAAACTTCCTTGAGAAAGACTTGATATCCAACAGATCTCCAACTTGTTCCTATAATTGTACGAATTATGAGCACTCTAATTCTCTAATATTAAGAGTTAGCGCAATTCATTCGACTTCACCAAGCATCACAGAGATGGATGAATGCATATCTGGCCTATACGATTACTTGCGGTGGCCTATCGAGTTACCAAGTTTGTGTTTCCATCCACCCAGACAAGGCTGATAGCAATATGCCGACCCAGGAGTAACGGAAAGCTTGGTAGATCCGGGGGTGTAGAGTCGAAGCAGCGATTAATCCAGTATGTTTTGTAGAGCACCATTAACCACGTGCTACACTACACGGGGATATATTCCATTACATCTATGTATTATTGTGTGCATATTGGTTGGAAGTGAAAGCACGAATCACACATGTTTATCTTGCTCGCGGCTGTGTAATTTGTTTCAGGCCTTTTTTCCCATATACTTTAGGTAATCAATGAACAGTTCGTCCACAAAAGTGTCCTCTGCACTTACTAATCTTGAAGAAATCACTTTTTTATTTACTGCCTATTCCTTTTTCATCACAGGATATATTGTGAAATATAACTACAATAATGCTGAGAAAAACTTCACTTAATCTCAGTTTATCTAATCCTTCTAACCTCCCTCAACCTCCCTCCTCCTCCTGACGGTTTACTGCCTCATCGTGGCTAGGAGCTGTTCCTGGGTGTTGGAATGCGACATAAAGCAGGAGATTCGTACTCTAGGCAGAGCCTCCCAAGCTGAGAAGGAGTCCGGAATTTCGATCAGGAAGTCCACCAGCTAAGAGTGAACCAATACCAGGATCCTCCAACGTCGTGGTATCAAACTAGTCGCATGTTGGCAAATCTCCCTTCGATCCACAAATGCGGCGACTGCCTGTGGTAGTGACGACTTGAGGTAGAATTTGGCCAGGCAGATCTCGGGATTCCAGAGAACCACAATGGCTAAACTAGCAAATCTCCGAAGAAATGGAGGTTATGCTGGGGCTCGCACAACCAGTGAAGACGGGCTATCTAAGTATCCAAAGTATCCAAATAAGATGCTGAGATACGATATACAGACATGATGTGGCGGACGTGTTAGCCCTTGCAAAGGATAATAGCGTGTTTGGTCCCCACCGCAGACATCTGCAGCCCGGAACTTTGGAAATATCTCATCTCAGCATCACTGTGTTATAAATTTAGAAGAAAACCGTTCAGATAAGTTCGTCTGTTTCGTCACAGAGATTGTTGCTAGTGAGTACGTTGCAACGATGTCTCTCCCTGGTTAAAACATCATAGCTTAGGACGGTATTAAGATGTTAATTTTTTATATACTGCCTCACTACAACTTCCGCGGCAGGGTATTATGCGAAATGAACCACATGGATGCTGAGATATTTGCAAAATTCCGGATCGCAGGTGTTTCCGATTGGGAACATACGCGCTATTACCTTTTCCGGGGGCTAACGCGTCCACCGCGACACCATGTGAGTCCTTCGTTTCGCCTTCGTCGTTATGGTTGTATTTCACATAATACTATGCCGTGAAAATTGTAGAAAGGAAGTGAACAGAAAAGTTAATCACAATGTTTAACGTTTTGTTTTCTGCCTTCTATAATTTTCATGGCAGGTTACTAAGCGAAATACAACCACCACGTTGCTGAGATATTTGCAAAACTCTGGACCGCAGGTGTCTATGGTGAGGAACGAAGGCGCTATTGTCCTTTCCGGGGAGTAACGCGTTCACCACCACACCATGCGGGTCCTTTGTTTCGCACGTCTCTTAGCTATTTCTATCGATCTTTTTGCCACAGCAATCACCCAGAAAAGTTAATATTGTGTCAATGCCGATTTGGGCTCCTTAGATCAATCCCGTTGAAATGATCATGAAACTGGTAGATAGAAAACTAGTTGAGAAAAAGGCGAAACGAAGGACGCACATGGTGTGGTGGTGAACGTGTTAGCCTCTAAAAGGTTAATAGCGTGCTCGATCCGCACCGCAAACACCTGTCGCCCGGAGTTTTGCAAATATCTCAGCATCACTGTGGTATTAAGATGCTTCTTACTGCAACACATAACACACGGTGAATCCTTAGCTTTTGTACCATCAGATGAAGATAAGGACCGATGTCAATACACACAGTCCATGATATCTCATATTTGGAAGGAAGAGCGACCGATACAAACACCACGTGGTTCGTAAAATGCAGAAATGTTGGACGTCGTTTCGCATGTGTTACACGAGTGCCTTAGGTTCCAAAAAAAGCTTATGGTGTGCAAACCACAAAATCCTAATAACCATAGAGGAAGTTGGTAGCTCTAAGACTAGGGGAGTGTGAAGGAACATTTTTGAAAAAAAAACTTACTTGAAGGAAATACTTATCGCCTGACTTGAGTGGCCATTCGTATTCAATCAGGTCCTTCACTTCCAACTTAAAAAAAACGGCTGCAGGCGACGTTTAAAAGAAGAAGAAAATAAACGAGAAAACCAGGAAGTTGGCAAGCTAAACCGACCGACCTGACGATGCGTCACATCAGCAGAAATGACTCTGGCTAGCGATTTCGGTGTCGAAGGGACATTCAACAATTGAGACTGATTGCCTCAAAACAAAGATAGGTTCAAGAAGTCATAATTGGTGAAGTTATACTGACGGGTTACATTCATGACAGAAAACGATACCGTCAATAGTCTCTCCCGTTTCCTGAGAAGACGATGCCTGCACTGATGAAGGAACCGAACAGGACTCTGTTGAGTCCATTGATAAGTTGCTGTCTTCGAAAATAGTTGGCTCATCTGAAGAATATGGAGGCTGCATCCTTAAAGAATTCACATCTAGAAGTAGAAAAACCAACTCAACCGTAGAGAAAAACCGCTAATACTTTATACGATGCCCGAGCATGTTCCACAGAGATTTGCCTTGTATATACATTTTGTATAAACTATTACATCGGGTACTCAAGCCAACCTAATTACTTTGATTTGATGAAAAATAGATCCAGAAGTTTTAGGTGGGAGGTATCACTGACAAGTTCCTATTGACCTTTTGCTAACAGGAGACACTTTTGACGAGACAGATACTAAGTAAACCGTTTTAGAGCCTTAATGGAAACTCAAAGAGGATTCGGACACGAGGTCGGAAGAAGTCAGAAAATAACAATAAGAGATAAAAAGCTAGGAAACTGCTACTAGTAGATTGTTACACGGGACACTTAAGCTAACTTAACTCATTTTATACAAAGAAAAACATATGCAGAAATCCTTGGTGAAAGATAAGTTTGACACGTTTCGACCGAGCTTTTAATATGAGGAGAGAATTCCAACGAGACGGATACTAACTCCGTTTAGAGCCGTAGGAGAAATAACAATAACATACAGAAGCCTGACAAATTGCTACTGGTATTCTGCAACAGTGGGCGTTCGCAGTTTGCAATGGGTAGGCAAGTGGTCCGTCATTTCTGTCACATGTGCGTTTAGTTGAATATCCACAGAAATCTTCCGTTAAATCTTAGTCTCTAAGTTCCTTAAACAGTTAAGTAAACACTTAAACAGTCAATTAGAGAGTTATGGAAGTTAAGGAAGTTGTCTCCTAGCTTGTTTGTAAATGCGTACAAGTTCAACTCAACTTCAGCTTTCTCCCATTTCTAACATTATTGCGATTCTGCTTGTTTTTGTTACAATATGGTAGCATTAGTATGTAAAATAAATGTGATCCACGTTGCACTTTTGATAATAAAGTTATATTCACTGTTGGCGCGTATGGCGCATTGGGAGGAGGCGACTTGCAACACACGTGGATTGGCACATCCCTCAGGGATTGATTAACGCCGAGAGCTTTGTCCTTTGTCCTTTATTCATCGTTACTCGTTGCTCCTGGTAATATATTGTAAAAGAAGATCCTGCTCGCTTTGCTTAGCTTCTTGAAATGAACTCGGCACGTTACTGATTAGCACTATGACCTACGAATATCTGTAAATTCAGCGGATATGACGACTAATTTTCGACCTTTTTCTAGATATCATCTATGGTACGTGTCGAGGACGGTAAAACATTGCTGAATGGGAACCCTGGTTAAGTGTTCTTGGGATTTCTTACATTTGATTTGAAGATGACAAAAGGTAACCAGTGCTTAGAAGAAACTGCGTTTTGGAAGAGCTAAACTGTGTGGTTTTGATTACTCGCGTACTGCAGTGGTCGGAGGTGCTCTTCAATACACACTGGATCGATTCCTGGTTCGATCCCGCTCTCTGTGTTCGCCTGGTCCTCCACTTCTTCGGGGTTAGCAGATTAGTACCAGACTTATTTGAGACAATAACAGCACTGATCTGATACATCAGCAGACCATTGAAGCCATTGTATATGCCAGACAAGCATTCATCAGTTGATGCCAAAGGCCTTATTTTTCTATCGTTTTAATTTTAATTGTCGAAAATACACACATAGTAATTTGTGAGCAGCAACAAGCATAGGAGAGCCGTGAGACTATTCTCGCTGCTAGGTATCCAAACAAATCTCATTTCAACTATAAAGCTGAGGCTAGTTTCCAGGTGCATATTTTCACCTTTGCTATGCACTCTTTATCCGAAGTCCACTATCAGCTGTACCACCTATCGCCCCGTTGATCGTCGAATGACTCGAGCGAGCGCCAGTAAACCTTCCATTTTCCGTGTCGCGTGCAGGAGTAGCCCAGTGGGTTTTGCTCGCTCTAGGGACTCGCTGAAAATTATACCTTTCCTGAAAGTTTCAAGGCAAGTCCACTATAAAGAATGAAAGATAAAGCTGTCGGCATTGATTAATCACTTAGGGATGCGCCATGCATCCAACTTCGTTTAGCATCGTTTGGAGGTGGTCGCATGCGTATTTGGCCTCTACAATGACACACGGTGGCTTGCCAATGTATAGAGCCAGTGCTGCTATGTTACCAGGCAAGTCTGGTAGCAATTTGCCGACCCTGGAAGGGTAGAAAACTTGGTGGACCAGGAACGCTGGATTCGTTCTGCAGGGCTCCTCCGACCTCTGCGCCACACGTACCCTAACTCCACTAGAGTGTATGGTATTTGTCATTTGTATAGTCAGTAACCTTCAAGCGGTTTACCGCCTCATCGTGGCTGGAAGGTGTTCCTGGGTGTCGGACTGCGATGTACAGCGGGTGGATTCGTCCCCCGACAGGGTCTCCCAAGCTGAGAAGGAGTCCGGCGTTTCCATCAGGAAGCCTAGCTAAGAGTAAGCCAATACCAGGATCCACCACCATCTTAGTATCAAAGTCGCATGGTGGTAAATCTCCCTCTGATCCACAAGGACTGCGACTGCTTGTCGTGGTGACGACCTGGGGCAGACTTTGGCCAAGCTAACCGCGGGATTCCAGGGAACTACAGTGGCCTAACCAGCAAATCCCCGAAGAATGGTGGTTATGCTGGGCCACGCACAACTAGTGATGACGGGTCGTCCAAGTATCAACTATCAAGTAAGTTATAGTCAGTAAAGTTGCGAAATGTTCAAAATTGAATTCTCTTGCTGCGTAAGTATGCCGTATGGGATCCTTTTTAAGGCTCATCGGTATGTCTCTTGAGCAGATGTTTATGAAAGAAAGCATTCTTTTAACCACCGTTTTAGGTTTATAAAGAAAATAGACTAGTCGAAAACGCTGTTTAACGGTGTTAGCGCTGCTCTTCAGTACTTCGGAAACCTTTACACTGGAAAGAAGTGCTACTTATGTCCTGCTTAAGTTAGTTTCATATATATATGCATATATATACATATATGTATACACAAGTGTATATATACATGTCGGAAAATAAAAGCTGTCGGCGTTGATCAATCTTTGGAGAATGCGAAATGCATCCTTCTTCATTAGAATTGTTAAAGGCGATTGAATGCGCTGCGCATCTGACCTCACGGTGACTTACCAATGTATCGAGACAGTGCAGCTATCCTCCACACAGGTCTGGTACCAGTTTACCTCTCGGAGGAATGAAGGGCTTGGTGGGCCATGGGCGCGGTGATCGATTCCACGTGTGTGTTGCAAGGCGCCTCCGACCACTGCTCTACGTGAGCTACTACTGAGAAAATAAGTTCAAGAATTACGAACAGAAGTGAACCAGGCGAAGATCACTTAATCTGGTTTTCTTTTGCGGAACTGAGCCTTACTATTAGGCCGATGTTTCACTTCTGCTATCTATCCGTTTATGAATCTCCAGTTACTAGGTGTCAAGCCCTTCATTACGTTCACTAGTAAACATAATTCTCGTGAGGTATGCCGATTTCCATTCATGTTGCAGTCATTCCAAATATATAATATTGTGCATAATCGTTGAGGTCTTTCCCTATAAAGAGATTCACCTAATAGTTCTTACTTTTATTGTTTCTTTCCTTCGCTCATTCGCTCTTTTTACCTGTGTTTCTTCGCCCGATCTCACTTTCCACCCCTCTTACAAGTATACTCTCCTCTCTTTATTCCTTGCTTTCCATTTTCCCTCTCTGTTTAATTCCTCTAAAGTTATGGCTGTGCCGGTTACCGTATTTGTTATGATCCTTCTATAAATCACCATAAACAAAGTAAGAGAACAACAGCACATTTTGCTCCACACCACCTCCTCATTTTCAAGTTTTCATCGCGACGTTTCACTTGTTCTGTGGAAGATTTGCTGAAGTGACATGTGTTTTTATCCATTAGTTGACAGCATGGCCAGTCCAGACGTGATTTACTGGTCTGCCGAAGATCAACTTCTTCTCGATGGAGATCTCTATTACCTTTACCAGGAGGAAGAAGGATGGGAGTCCTTTTATCAGGTTTTGATGTTGTCGCAACTTTCTATTATGATATGCTTTTTAAAACAATGGAATACTTAAGGAAGTATTTATGAAAGAAATACTTGAATTGGGGCTCAGGAACAGAAGTGTTGGGGCCTCCAAGGAACTAAGTGACCATTAATATGTTTAATCTTCTAGTAGTTCAATATTTTTAAATAGTAACGCTTTGGAACTTTTTATTGGCCTAAATGTTATCATAAATTGCTCGCCTCTAATGTGACACGTGACAAGTATTTGATTTGGAATTAAGACTGTTAAGCTGCAATTCTCATTTATTAGAGATTGGACAATGTATGATTGGTTGTTTGTCGTCTGTGAAGAATACCGTTGGGAGATTGATTTTATTCACCTTTGTGCAGCGCCTACTTAACGTCATGGGTGAGTATCGTTCGTTTGTTTTAAAGTTTAACTTTATGATCAGTAACTTGGAATGTGTGTTAAGTAGTACGTTACCTGTTAGTAAGTTTGTATCTAAACCTTTCTTTAGATCCTCCTATCTTGTTGAAGCACATTTCTTGTATTTCTCTGGGTACACTAGTGCTTCTCGATTGGGTTCAAAAAGTCGAGCTCATTATGGCAATCGTCTTTGGTAGCGTCTTTCTGACTCTACTTTTGTTGTTCACATTACCCCATAAGGGATTTATGGTCATGGTTGCTAGCATATCACTTATCGTCTGCTTGTGAGCACTATTTTTTATTTTATGTTCATAACTTCATCACTAAACCCCAAGAAATGATCGTGACAGAGGAATTAAAAGATTTGTTTAGGCAATATCTCGTTCCTGTGTCAGATTTCATTGCTGTTCGTGGAATACTCATGATATTGTCGATGAAAATTTCATCGCTTGCTTTCGACAAAGGTCACGATTTCGCCTTGACCGATGCTGTTCCTGCTTTCGCTTTCTTGTTCAATCCTTCAACAATAGTTTTTGGTCCTTTCCACACATATGGTGATTTCCTGAAATCAATGAACCGTGGAACAAGCAGAGTATGTAGAAATCGACGTATTTTTTTATATTTACATTTTAGACTTTTTTTCAGGAAGAACTATCCAACGCAGTTCTTAGCGTTTCATTATTAGCTGTTGCTCTCTGTTTCTTGATGTATTCATCATGTCTTAGCATAATCGTGCCGGAAGGAAGCATACTTGCTGATTATTTTTTGGCGCAGTCGTTTAGATCAAGCCATTTCTTCGTTTGTTTGCTCTCCCAAGGTAATCAAATTTCCTGTTTACAGAAATTTTGACAGGGTTTATGTTTAAGTGAAATGATTTTTAGCATTGTCAATGTTGTCTGGGATGAGAATATCTGTCTGTTCGCCATTTAAAGTAGAATTTCCAAGGTCCCTTGTAGTGGTCGTTACTGCATGGAACATGCCGATGCACCGTTTTCTTCGCTATTGTAACTTTACATGAATTTTATAGTGTTATACTGCTTGGATGTCCTTAATACCTTTCGTTTTAGACGTGTACCTCAAGTTTCTGTCTTTGGGTAGTGCAGGATCGATATTCGCTTCGTTTGTAGTTAGCTCTTTATTACACGTTAGTCAGCAAGATTGTTTACTACCTTTTTTAATGTTTCATTGAGTATCTAATATCTAACCTCCCAACGGTTTATTGCCTCATTGTGGCTGGCAGGGTGTAAGGCTGCCATGTACAGCGGAAGGTTCATTTCCCCCACCGCCTTAGCAGAGTCATCTCCATCCGGAAGCCGAGCTATGAGCAAACCAATACCAATACCAAGAATCACGACCGTGATGTTATCGAACTGGTCACATGGTGGAAAATGATCTGGGAAAGGCTTTTGTTAGGCTGGTCGCGGAACTCTAGAGAACGACGATTGTTGAGCCAGCAAATCTCCAGAAAATGGAATTTATGGTGGAGCCCACGCAACCATTGAGGGTGGTTCTCCAAGTATCCAACCAGGTAATATCACCAGAGGAACTTGCTTGCCCAATAGAAAGATCGTTTGTGCAATATTTGGTGCTTTTCATTTTTTAAAAATGATGTTATTTTGCGCTTTTTAGGGATTCAACTTTCAAATTACAGCTGTGCTGCTCTCTTTGGGTTTTGTCTCGTACTTTGAAAATAGTAAGTCTTTACAGTCTTTGAAAAGTCCCTGAATTCACATTATTCATAGGTATTTATTCGTTATGGGCGGATAGCACAGTGGTAGTGGTGTCCGTTATCATGAGCACGGTGCTAATTCGGTTCCGCTCCGGACCAACCAAGCCTCTCATCCGTCCGGGGTCGGAGAATTGGTACCGGACTTATCTGGAAAAAAAAACACTTCAGCCCGGTTATCTCAGCACTCCAGAGAGGATTGCTCGACCAGCATTCTACAACATTCAAGATGAAATGGCAATCCTCAAGCAGCAACCGAAGCAGCACATGAAAGCTGAAAGATCTTCGTGGACATCGGATGTGAGGAAACGAATCGAATTTGAGAAATGCTGAGACCCGCACAGTAGACGTGAAAACGGATCAAATAAAGTAAAAAAAAAGTTGATCCGTTAAATGTGGATCTGTGTCAACGGCACTGCTATTGTTACAATTACAGTTATCTTTCCACGGTATTCTTTGTTTCCAGAGGTTCGTAATCGAATTGCCAGTCGTTTTTCTATGTGCGTACGTGCTCGTCCATGTGGTAATTGCGTCCACGAAAAAAGTTTGGTGAGGTATTTAGTGCTATTCCACGTATTTTGGTTACTTTCGGTTTTATTCTGCAGCTCTTTGGCGAGGTGCGAGCAGTTCCAAATCATTGAAAAGTTTTGTTTAGGGAAATTGGCGAACTCTATTTTTGAATGGTTTGTTTTCGGTTAGTGCTGTTTACCTGTTAATTTACCTCGGTGCACCTTTCGGTGACGATGGTGCTGAAGTTGGTTACGATATATATCATACAATTTCTACATGGAAACGCCACCGGTTTGCTGGTCATTGGATCGCGGTTGGCATTGCTCTGCTTAGTGCTTGTATTTAGCTCGTTTGTTTTTGAAAGTCTTTTTTCGTTCTCAGAATTTGTTGGTAATACACAGTTTTCTTCCCTCATACATTGAATCTCTAGTTTTTCCTTATTTTTTTGTCCTTTGTGGCAATTTACTGGCTATTTTGATTTCTTTTTTTGTGAGACTCGTAAAATCGTACATTATGTGCACGCTGGCAATGGTTGTTGATTGTACTTCCTTTATTAACTCTCATCTTGATACCCATTGCATTGCATTGATTTTGCAAGGATAGCAGTTAATTCGTCTTTTATATCCATATAGTATGGTGCCTCGCGTTATTGTTAAAAAAAAGATGTAGAACTTTCCATAAATCGTCTACGGCTGCGCAATTCTTTCTGGAACTCTGTATTGGCTTTCCTTAGTATTTTCATTTATTTTTAGAAGCTATTTCAGTGTTAAGAATGTGAAATGTTTCGTGCAGCAACTAATCTAATTGAGGTTCATGACGGAAAAGAGCGAGTCTTTGGCTGAAATCGCGTCCGCTTTGAACCATTTATCAGATGACTTGGACAAATTCGAGGCTACTTGGGATGCAAATATGTCGAAGGTGTTATCCAGCACAAACCTTTATGAACGAGAACTTTTTTCTGATGGTGGTGCCCCCGAGATGTCGGTGACAGCCCAAATATTGTTAGAGGAAGTCACTTCCCGAGGTGAAGAGACACTAACACAGATGCTCGCTCATCACAAATCACTTCATCACGCTGTATCCCAAATTGGCAAGGATATAGAAAAAGCGACACATAAGGACATTGGTGGTTTGATTCGAAACGAGAAGGAGATTGAGCGCGATGCCAAAGCCGAACGTCTCGTGAACGGCATGATTTGTGATTACCTGATGACTTGCGGTCTTACGAATGTAGCAGAAATTCTTGTGAAAGAGGCTGCACTAGGTGGCCGAATAGATGACTACTTTGCAAACCGGAAAGTTATTGATTGGATAATGGAATCATTGAGAAATCAGGATATTGCGCCGGCCGTAGCTTGGCTGAAGCAAAATCCTCATAGCGACTCAAAGCTGCACTATGACCTTCTACAGCAACATATTGTAGCACTAATTCAAGATGGAAAAAGGGTTGAAGCACTGCAGTTTGGCAAGCAACTCTCACCTTTCGGTTACGAGCAGGAAACGGCACGGTTGATGGGAGCAGTAGTTTTAGCAAAGGACTGTAATGATGCTCGTTATGAGGCCTTGTTTAATCCATTAGCGTGGCCTTTGCTGGAGTCGAGAATGTCAGTCGCCCTCGCTCAAAGCGACAGTCGTTTCGGAAATGTAATTTCGACTGGGATGCGAGCCGTACCGATTTTGATGAACTTGAAGCAAGTGATGGTGAATCGCCAGGACCACTTATTCAGTGGTGAAGAACTTCCAGTTGAGGTTAAGATTGACGAATATGTTCATTCTACGTTCACTTGCCCGATTTTACGTCAGCAGAGCACAGATAATAACCCACCAATGAGGCTTACATGTGGTCATGTTATATCTAGAGAAGCTATTAGCAAATTGTGTAGTAACCACAGGAATAATAGATTAAAATGCCCCTATTGCCCTGAGGAATCCCATCAAAATGATGCTAAACAGGTTTACTTTTAAGTCTTTGAGTTGGTTACTTCTCCTTAGTGTTGTATCTTATTGATAGCTTATTGATTATCTTGATATATCTTATTGATTCATAAACTAATCCCTGCATGAACTCTTGTTTTGAGCGTGTTTTTTTAAAAAACATTGTTAGATCCCAAGTGGCGGTCTCGCTAATGTCTGAGTACTGTACAGTTCTTTCATAGCCCACTATTGATACTTTGTAATACGTATGTAATTAATGATATTTTAAACATGTAATAAAGCTTGGAATATAGCTTCGCTCAGATATTTAATGCTTTGAGGGTTTACTCCCTAAAATGCTTATGTCAATGCGGTGGTCTTCGTTGTGTTAACTGTTCCACTCTCTCTTTTTTTCAGTTGCATGTCTGTTTCGTCAGTGTCGTTTACCACAGACGTGAACATCAGATATGATAGGCTTTTCAACGAATATGCTAAAGTGAGTGAAAGAACTCATGCACAGTGTATTTAATGTTCCTGTTAGATGATGTAGAGAGTTGGTAGCGTAGCATAAGAAGAGAGGAGTTATCAACTGCTTAAATTCCGTTATGAATTATTAAGGCCGCATGTAGTGCAGTGTTTGGAGGCGTCCTGCTAGAAACATAGGGTCGATCCCCACACCTCGGGCCCACCAGGCCTTCCATCACTACGGGGTTGGCAAATTGGTATCAGACTTGTCTGGGAGGATAGCAGCATTGGCTCGACATATCGGTAGGCCACCGCGAGTCATTGTAAAGGCATTCAGTTATGCATTCAATTACCTCCAAATGATGCTTAATGAAGTCGAATGCCTCAGAGATAAATCAATACCGAGAGCTTTGTCATTTATCGTGTTATATCATGTATGTATAGATGTCGTCTATCCCGTGAACTTCGTGGTCATAAATAGGTTTTTAAAAGTACTACCCAGAAGCAGTCTAATTGTAAACTATATCATGTTTGTGAGGACCTTGATCCTTTTTTGACTCGGAGTTGCTGGTCATTGCTGTTGTGTAGGTGTTATGTACCATATGTATGTATGGTATGTTTTAGCTTCGTTCTCATGCGAAGGTCCTTTCTGAAGGGATAATCTCGGAGAGAAAGAAGAACGAATGTCTGAATGTGAGTAACATTCTTCGGCAATTTAGGAAAGAAGTTTGTTTTGTTGTATGAGGTTTTTGTTATGGTCCCCGACAAATTATTTATGCCAGGAATATTTGTGTTGACATGCAAATTGTACGATGTAATTTCTATAGGAATCTGTGCGAGAGTTGGAGGCTGAACTTCGGAAAGTGAAAACTGAGAACGAAAGTCTCACATTTCGAAATGATCAACTTGTGAAGCGAGTGGAGAGACTTCAAGATGAGCTGGAATCTAGTGCTCACTTTAAAGCATCAGGAGCTAAGGCATGATTCTTCCGTGTCTTGAAGCGACCGTTCGTCATATTGCTTGCTTTAGGAGGGGAAGTCACATAAAAAGTCTAAAGATGTGAGGAATTTAGCCCACGAATTGGAAGTTTTGGAGGGACGCATGTCGGTTTTAGAGGAGGAGTTACAGGATAAAATTCGACAGAACATGGAACTGACTGGTCAGGTGAAGTGATTTAACTGTTTCTACGGTTTTCAGCTTTCACAAGCTCTAATTGAACGTCCTGTTCAGCTTTAAAACTTCTCATCTTCAGATTAATGAGCTTAAGCAAAAACATGATGAAGAATGTTCTTGCTTACTGAATGAGGTGGCTCGAAATGTTGAACAAGCTGAATCTCACAGGTTCATTTTTGATAAAGTTAAGGAACAGAAGCCGGAGAGACCAATAAAATCTGTCAAGCCATTGACACAATCTTTTGAGGTTTGTTAGTATTTTCAGTGTTCTACTGTTTCTTAAGATTTTGACAATATCATACCCTAGCTCTTGTTAGATTTACTACTACGTCAATTTCTCTGACTGTTGTCTATTTTAAAACTTTAGCAATGGAATACAAAGTTTTCCAATTCTTTCTTCTTCCAACATTAGGTCTAGATCTGCGACGCACCGTCTCCACGGCCACCACCTATCAACGATGCTTATCTTCAGGTAGCAGAATCAATTCGAAACACTTTACAAGGTCTTTCAAATTTCTTCTTTGTTGTGGTTTTGTTTTCAAATTTTCGTTTAGTGTAAACCTTTTTTATCATTTCTTTTTCTTGAAACCATTGAGTTCTTCACGTTAGGCTGCTAATTGGAAATCAATTCGTCCATTATACTCTATGATCTGATGTCTTTGTTCCGCATAATAAACTAAAACTGTTTCATGTTTATCAACGCTTTTTGAACTACTTTACCAACGCACTCAAGTATATCCCTTTGATGCCTCTCTGGAAGCGCTTCCATGTCACATTAAAATGGTATGTTCAACTAAACCCCGCTTTACTTGGGTAGTTTTTCTTTTATGTTACGAGTCTCTTTGTTATTGCAAAGTTTCTTATCACAGTTATCTTCTGGATTGGCGCAGTGTTCACAGTTACTCACCGTACCGATTGACATTGTAGAGCAATGCATAGTGAAGGCGGAATTCCAGGTGTCTCTTAGAACACATATTGCTTCCTATCCTCTTTTATTAAAGTGCCAGATGTTTTATATAACAAATATCGTCTTGTTACTTGTGTTACTTTCTTTCGTTTCTACCAATCTTAGGGAGATTTGTATATTTCAGTGGTCAACGGATGTTCCGCGGCTGCATTCTTCCTTTTGCCCTGTAGTAAAGCACTGTAAAGTGATGATGCCTGAATTATTAAAGCGACTCGCTATAGAGGAAAACAAAGTTAGGAACATCAGTTTTTTCCTGCTTACAAACTGCATTTGTTTGATATCATCTTAACGGTCATAATTTTATATAGACTACATGGTGTGACTCACAACTGGAAGAACTTAACACTGCATGGTGTGCCGGTTTGTGTCGTCTCTTGATAGCTATGGAGTCTGTGTGTGCCGTACTTGAGGAAATGTCGTCGAGCTTCGAGGTGGGAGAGAAACTTTGTGCAACATTGGAAGAGGGAGCTCTTTTCATCAAAGGTATGTTGGCAATTATTACAAATTTGATTCTTTGGAGTTAACTTTTTTTTTAACAATGGAAATAACTTTTATCTGCTATCGAATATTTTGTACTGTTAACAGTATTCACGGCAGTGCTGATCTTTCACCAATCGCCAAATTGTAAGCTTTAAAGAATTATAAACATTTTGCCTTTGAAAGGTTAATATTCAAAAAGGGTTTCTAAATTTTAACGCTAGCACCGCCTTTGGCATATTAGAGAACATCATCGCTTTTTCCTGGAAGGACCGATGCGCTATTCAAAATACGATTTCGCGAGAAAAAGGTTCTATCGGTTCAAGAAAACTGGAATTTCATCTTGGTAGGATGATATATTTTGTGTCATATTAACAGAGGTAGCTTAGATTCTTGGTGCTGTTTCTATCAGTTTATTTCTTTCCTGTCTGTGTTTGCAGAGCTCGATATGACGTTCTCAACCCGGTGGGCTTTGGAGTCTCGTTTTCCAACAGCTACTAAAAGGATTTGCTGCATCGGTACAGCTACTTCTCACTGTTTATCGCGATTGGTAAGCGAGTCGAGCAAGCTCGCTGCTAGAGCTCGTGCGGTCAATGAATTAGTTAGGTTTTTCCAAACTCTTATGCTATTTTAATGCCGTGTTTTCGACTTCACGATTAGTTATGAGCAATTCGTGGTAGGGTGCAAGCATCGGGCTGTTGTAATAGGTTTGACAGTTCTCCTGTCAAACAGAATATCTTTGGGAATTTTTTGTGTCTCTTGATGTGGACGTTGTAAATGTTCAAGCTGTTTTGCTAATATCACGCAGACATATGTGCCCGTTATTTTCTTCTTTTTTCAATATAGTTTGTCGACAACGATAAGCACGTTTCAACATCTCTCGGACAAGGAGTATCTCCTTCTAGCATCAGCCTCAGTGAGGACTATTATGGCGTAAATGAGGGAAGTAAAACTAATCTGGAGAAGCAATCGTCTTGCAGTAGAGGTAACTACTGGAACACCGTATCAGCAAAAGTAGTTGGCGTAGATAGGTGTTGCTAGAAATTGGTGAAAAATGCGAGACTGTTCATATATTGCTTTTTTTTTCCTTATTTGCATTTCTAGGAGTTGACACATCTGATCTTAATAGTCGTGCTTCTGAACCATCGGACATATGCCATTCTCCATCTAATAGTTCTGAAGACACGCATTTCTTCAAGTCAGGAGTTATTTCCGAGCAATCTGTGGTATGATTCTAATCAAGTTTGGTACCATTTTATATAGAAATGTATTCAGTCGGAGTTTTTACAACATTGAGTTCCAGGTCGACTACCTAAAAGAAAAGATTAGTACACTTGAATCGGAACGAGAAGGTTATTTAGTTGATCTTTCACTACTTCGAAGGAAGCTTACGCACATGGGAGTTAAGGAGGTTAAGTAAGTGTTACAAGATACTTGCCGAGACGTTCCTAATATTTCCTCTGTTCATTTCGTTTTCTTGCAGGCGTTATCCATAGAAGTGGTCGGTTTCGTATTTATGTTGAGCTTCAGCTTGAGTAGGCTTCGTCCCTTCTCTTTAGTAGCTTGTTGGGTTCTGATTGGTCGTCGCTTTGCTTAGGAAATAGGTGTGCTAGGTCATTTGAAGGTCCTCTCCACAGCCGATCGCTTCGGATAGAAGAGTTTTACTGCCTTGTCACTACGATTTTTCGAGGATGTCAACGATTTCTGATAGTCGACAAACCCAAGTTAAGGGTGATCTAGCGTACTAAATCCGATGTTGATATCGATAATATTCAGAAGTTTCTTTAGAACCTGTTCTCTATTGGTTGCAATTGACGTGGCATTTTCAACAAGCTGCATCACAGCGAAATTTTGAAGCACAGCTGCTAAATCCTTACAGCTTTATACCCTAGCAATTTTGCGACCTACGTGGATATCCTCTCAATATTTTTGAACTGATTTTCATTCAATCTTGTTATTGATAGTCAATGTATTTTCTTTCATTGATGACCTAATCCGAGGTTGTTGAAAAAGTTTATTCGGCTAACGTTACGGTGATTGGTTCATTAGAACGGTGTTCCACACCAGAAAATTCGTTTCGAAGCGACTGAGAAAACCCACATCGCAGGTTCGAACGGTAGTGGACAATCGACTCGGATCGGTCCTGCTCTGATGAAGTAGAAAGTGTAATTGTAAGGTTTTGGTAGCTGTTCACAATAGTCCATATCGTCATTGTGGTTGAATGGTGTTTCCGAATTTCGAACTATATTGGGATGCATCCTTACAGCAAATTCTCCGAACTTGAGAAGACGCATTTTGATCTACAAGGTCACATTAGAGTGATTCATGAAAGACCATGGTGAGCTTTCGTTTTCACCACAGTAAGTTTGAAATCCTGTATCAAAACTGTGATGCCATCTGTGTTCCTTGAACAGTTGAAACTCACTGAGCGAATCTGATGGGGATTTGGCCTGTTCCATCATGCTTGGATTGTCGATCTACTAATCGTTAGAAGTCTGCCATAATATGTGCTTAGTAGCCGGGATATATTTATCAGTTTGCATCTTCGATTAGACATTGGGGAAATGTAAGTGCTGACACTTTACAGTTAGTCAGTTTTTAGTTGATTCAGATTTTGATGCGAAAACAATTGTTTTCACTTTCTAGAGATAGTAGCTATTCCGAAGTAGAAATGTTGAAACAAGTGAATCGAGAGCGGCTACGTGCTGTCACAAATGAATTGCAAACAACACAATCTACTGCCAATTATTATAAAGGAGAAGTGAGCTTTCTGTTTTCGTTGTTTTTACTTCTGGAATTTTGTGCATTCAGTGTTTGATTCTCCTACGTAAGAACTCTATTTGTATGAACGAGAAACGGATTTTGGAAGAAACAGTGGACGACATGACCAAACAAATTGCGGCTTTAATGGTTTGTATAAGAGAAGTTTCAAACTTTCCACTGAAACGATTATCGTTTTTATAGGATGAGCTTGCATCGGTTCGACGTAGTTATGGCGAACAGTTGTCACAAATGACAGAACATGTTGCGGATTTAAATGGAAAGCTTGCCGTTATAGAGAGGGAAAAGACAGAACAACGATATCCAGTAGCACAGCAGAAAGGAGGAGTAATGACTCTTTGTTGTTTCCTTTCGAATTCAGTTTCTTTGTAACAATGCCATCCAAAATTGGAACGGCCATTGATTGCACTCATTGTTGTGCCTCGTCGAAGTCTTTACCATTAACTACAGTAACTATGGTCCGAAACAGAGCATTGTTCAGGCCAATTTTCATTTGACGGAAGCTGTTTTTATGATGCATCGTATACATTTTTTTCAGTTGAAATCGCTGTTCATGAAGTGAACCATTGCCAGAAGATCGCTAGTTCGCAAATATCAACCGTGTTGTGCTTTTGTACAAGTTCGTTTCTTCACTGTCTTTCTTCAATAGGCAAACACGAGGTTGGTATTATAGGATTTATTAGCGCACAATAACTGATGTTTCGGTGGTTTCACTATCAGAGCTGGAAAGGTGAAAAGTTCGTTCTTTCAAATATTCATCTATTCTCGTAAATTGAATGGCCTATCTCACGATATTTCCATTCACTTTTCAAGCAATTACACCAAGTTTGCTAATTATAATAGAATGATCCTATAATGATAGAGACTGTACAAATTGTAGAGATATCCTCATGTTTTAATATTCCACTGATATATCATCTAATCGTTAAATCAGAGCTCTATCGGTACCAACGCATACCTAGATGCGTAATCTGCGGTGTTATTTCTATTATAATCGAACTATTTAGTAAAGCATAGTCGTTTTTCAAGATATTTTTCCAAGTACTTCTTTTTGTTCCGGAAATCTTCCTCATATTACGTGTGGTTTTACCTTAGTTAATGCGCCCTGTGATATTGTTTGCATTCTTTTGTTTGAAGAGCATAATATCTGTTATTACTATAGATGACCTCTTCTGTTACAGAATTAACTACATTCGTGTGTTGAATGTTGAAAGCTCAATACCAACATAGAATTAGATAAACGAAAATTTGATGGTATGTACAGTGTTGTAGATTCGGCCATGGAACAATTCATTTAGATCAGCACACAGTGTGAGGTGAAATTCTACCATATACTACAGTTGAACATCAGATTTGTTAATGTAAGTACAAGAAGTGGCTCAAAACATTCGTATGATCCGTCTCGGCTTTGAATTACTGGAACGGTAGAGGCTGGAAGTCAATTGATTAGGTAGTAGAGTGAGAATAGTAAAAATAGTAAAAGTAAAAAGAAAAAGGTTTTATGAAAGGTTTTATGTCCAAGTATATAAAAATAATCTTAACCCTTTTATTTACTGCCTTTTTCTTTTTAATGGCAGGGTATGTTGCGAAATATAACTCGTATATAATGCTGAGATATTTGCAAAACTCCGGACCGCGGGTGTATCCAGTGGAGAACGAACACGCTCTGTTGTCCTTACTGGGGAGCAGCGCACCTCATCACCACACCATCCGGGTCCTTCGTTTTGCCTGTCTCTCAGCTAGTTCTATCGATTTTTTTGCCATCAGCAAAGAAAAAGAAAGGGGCAGTAAATAAAAGGGTTAAGATTGTGATTATAACTAAGTCTCAGCTTAACTGGGTTCGATGCCGATTTCGGCTCCCCAGATCAATCCCGTTGACGGGTGATTGCTGGTGGCAAAAAGATCGATAGAACTAACAGAGAGAGGCAAAACGAAGGACCCGGATGGTGTGGTGGTGAGGCGCGCTGCTCCCCAGTAAAGACAACAGAGCGTGTTCGTTCTCCACTGGATACACCCGCGGTCCGGAATTTTGCAAATATCTCAGCATTATATACGAGTAATATTTCCAATTTTCTTTAAACACTCGATGCAGCTGAATTACTTACAGCGAGTTCATCATCAAGTTCTTAAATAGTTATGCATACATCTAGTTATATCAAAATATCTCAGCATCCTTGTGGTTATGCATAAATTTGCTCCCAACTATCACCTGCGATCTGTCGTTTGGTTGACCGTCGAGTGACTCGAGCAGGGGCTAGTAAATCTTCCATTTCTCCTCGCGTGCGAGAGTAATCCGGTGGGTTTCGCACACTCTAGGGACTCCTCAGGCATCGTATTTTTTTCTACTATTTTCGTGAAAAGCTTTGACTATTGGGTCGGTGGTCTTCCTGCAGTACGTTTGGCATCCCGAAGAATCCAGTCACTAACGGCTCTTGTCCATCGGTTGTCATTCATGCGCGTTACGTGTCCGGCCCATCTTATTTTCGAATGTTTGGCCTACAGAACGGCATTTTTCATTTTTGACTGTTGACGCAGGTCGGAACTTCGGATTTCTTCCCTTACTTTGTGAAACGGAATACTCCTAGCATCGTTCTTTCGCCTGCACGTTCGATAACGCTGAGTGATCCTTTCACATGCTTACGCAGCGACCAAGTGTCTGACGCATACGTTAGGGCAGGAAGTACCGTTGAGTCGAAAAGGTAGGCGCGGAATCGGGTGTTCTTTGTTATCTTCACTACATCCTAGATGCTTTTGAAAGCTCCCCAAGCCGCTCGTTTCCCCTTGGTTAGCTCCGGAGCTAAGCCATTCATTATGTGGATTTTCCGATATAGATAAATGGTGCTAGACATTCGGAGATATTCCTACTGGTTAGCGTGAATGGGGCACACCAAGGCAATCCGTTCCTCATGAAAATTGTTCTTGTGAGATTTATTCGATGACCAATATTTCAATAGGCGTAATCAAAGTAGGTGACCATTCGTTCTGTCTGGCTAATACTTGGTGGTGTAAGAACGATGTCATCAGCAAAACGAAAGTGGTGCAATTTCCGTCCATTGCTTTTTACTCTCATGTTGTCCCATTCCGATGCTCGCATGACGTTCTCGAGGATGGCGGTAAATAATTTTGGCGAGTTGGCATCACCTTACCTAATCCATCTGTTTGCTTCGACGTTAATGTCGTTGTAGAAGGGTGATATTTCAGTTGCGTACTTGTTGTATAGCTCACGAAGAATCTCCTATGTCAGGTAGGGACGCCTTTGCTAACCAGGACTTCCATAGCTGCTTCTATGTCATCTGTGTCAAAAACTTTCCTTGGATCGATGAAGATGGGACAGAGTGGTCTCTTGTACTCTCGCGACACGTCAATGAGTCTTGTAATCGTCATGTCGTCCATCGTAGTTAATCATTTTCGAAACACTGCTTTCTCACATGGCTGTCCTTCGTTCAGTGTTTTGTCAATCCTCTTTAGGATGACTCAAGTGGAAATTTTGCAGACGATAGACAGCAAGCAGATTGGGCGAACGTTGCCGATATCGTGAAGTCACATTTTTTGAACAACAACACAGTCCTGCTTGTCTTCCACTGAATAGAAACATTGCATTCTGACAGGCAATGTGTAAAGAGTTGAGGTAATGTGTTT